ATAGAGGTCCTGTCACGGGTGTACTGCAGATCCGGAGAGGCACGGCCTTGTTGGCCGATCCCGAAGGAGAGGTTTACTTAGACACATGGATTCTTGGGATAGAAGGAGAGCACGAGATCTGCGACCGGTACGGGATACTGGAAGTGGTAATCAAGGCAGTCGAGAGCTAAGATTGGAGGCGGACGCGAGCCGTGACAAGGAAACAGGTCCGGGCTGCCGCATCTGTCACAGGTCCGGGCTGCAGCGACTGTCATAGGGTCGGGCTGTAACAGTTGGCAAGAATACCTAACTGCATCTTCTGGCGGTCCAATGGAACCCGACACGATGGGGCCACAACCGACCACGGGTGAAGCGGGAGAGGAGTACAGGACATCGCCTGATCGAGCTCTGAGGGATCTGAAGGAACGACTTAGGCGAGAAGCACCGCTGAGATGGGCTGACCAAACCAATGACGGAGAGTCCGACGTAAGGGGCGAACCAGTTGCGACAGAGCCGCAGGAGGCTCTAAAGACGGGTACCTCGAGCGGACGACGAGAAGCGACGAGGCGACGCTCCCCCGAGTACGAGCGGAGGGACACCATAGCGGACAGGCACAGAGACGACTGGAGAGAGAGTTTGAGGGATTCCTATTGGAGGGACAGAGATAGAGACAGGGCGCCGCCTAGGCGAGTCTTCGACCCTCAGACAGGGGAGTCACATCCGCTCCCTTACGAGAGCAAGGATCGCTATATTATTACGCACAAGGCTTCAGAGCCTCCTACCTTTAGGGGCTATGGTATCACAGAATATCAGGAGAAGTGGGAGCTTCACGCCACCCGGAGTCAATGGTCCGAGGAAGAGATTGTAGAAAACTTCCTATTTAATGTGGACCCAAGTCTCGGTAGGGAAGTTAAGGAAGCTCGACCGAAGGATGGAAAATCGACTACGTACAAGAAGAACCTCGTTGAGCTTTACAAATTGGAGAATAACAAGTATTTCATCAAGGATCTTGAAACAATGACTCAAGTTGAAGATGAGAGCGTACGGGCATTTGGGATGCGTTTCCAGAAGATCTCTGACGTGATGATGAAGAAGGGGAAGATCTCAGAGGTCGAGCGCTGTACTATCTTCATCGGGCACTTGTCCAAAGGTAGGCAAAAGAGTATACTTAGAGATCTTCCGCGCGACAGGCTTGATTTCTCAGAAGTCCTAAAGCTCGCGATAAAGRCAGAGGCAGACGATTACAAGGACTTGGTGTGGAGAGGGATGAGGAGACGTGACTTCTCTCTATACAAGGAGTATGCCACTGATAGATGTCCTGATTTCAAGGACTATCCCTGGTCGGAGAAGAATGAGGCCGTGGCTGAAAAAGTGAAGGAGATACGAGACATGGTGAAGGGATAGACGAGACAGGTTACAGAGATTGTGACCACTACAGGGGCCACGGCCTACCGGGACAAACCTGGAGGGCCCTATTCACTTCGCTGGGACCGTAGGAACAACGATTCGTGGAGGAGTGTCGAGGATAGAAATCCTCGGACGCTGACTGATTATTGTACGAGGGGAAGAAAGAGAGACGATGAGCCATGGCGACGTAGGGACGATGAGATAGACCGAGACCTCAGAGATCGCGAGCAGTTTGCGCGAGCAAGGAGGCTGGATGATTACCCTCGAAGCCCTCGCTATGAGGCCGATCGAGGTAGAGGCGACTCCCGCGGCCGATGGGAGACAGATCAGGGCCAACGAGATGGATATAGGGACAACAGATACGAGAGATCGGACCGAGATGGATATAGGGACGACATATACGAGAGGTCGGGTCGAGATGGCTACAGAGGTAGTAGGTATGAAAGAGGAGATCGGGACTGGGAACGACGAGATGGGTCGCGCGGACGGTTTGAGCGCAGGGGAGATGCGAAAGAGCAGCGCGACGAGTCGCGGGGATGGCACAACCGAGGGGACCGCCGGAATCATTCTCGAGGGCAGTATGAGCAAGGAGGGTCTGGAGGAGACTGCCGCAACGATTCGCGCGGTCGGAATGAGAGAGGGGGATATGGCGTCTCATCAGAACCATATCCCAAGTCGCCTGACCCAAAGGCAGCCAGGAATTCGATCTCGAGGAGCGCAGATGACAGGCCATCTACCCCCAGGAACTCGTGCGTCTACTATAGAGGAGAAGATCATATCAAGAGGGATTGCCCGGACCTCAAACGGGCAATAGATGAAGGACTTGTCGTGCTGGACGACCGCAAGTACGTCAAGTGGGCAGATGGTCTGAGAGATGTATCGATGTTCCCTTCGATGAAGGAGAATGTAGAAGCAAGGAAAGTAAAGCCGAGTAAAGAAAAGGAGCTAGTCAGGAGCCAGAGCATCAAGATAACCTTTGAGATGGATATGACGACCACACCCATAAGGGTGGCAGCCACCAAGTCGGCGAGAGGGTCTACATCGAAGAAGACTGACACGGATTACGTGATGACGGAGAAGGATGGGCAGCGGGTCGATGGAGAGGAGGTTATCCTTTTGCCGCGAAAGCCGGGAGTGAAGAAGTTCTTAATGAAGAGTTCGCTGGACGAGATTGACATGGTCGAGCCACTGAGGCGGGCCCTTCGGCAGCCCATGCAGTGCTCTATTCAGGAGTACCTGGCGGCATCGAAGCCGGCTCGTGATGAGTTACAGATGATCACGCGGAAGACTCGCATACCCCTATCGGAGGAGGGTCAAGGGGCCCCTAAGGCGGAAGCTTCTACAGTAGCAGTAACGGGGGTGACTGCCAGAGCGGATCGCATGGCGACAGTCTTTCTCGATGGAATGGAAGGTGTGCCTCCAGAGAAGTTTTATACACTTGGTAGCGGGGCCGTGGAGACGATTATAAACGATGGAGCGGTACTCGACGCTGTGATCGATAATGGCAGTGAGAATGTCATCATAGACGAGGACCTGGCAGTACAGGTTGGACTGGGCCTTGACAGGTCGTACCTATTCGAGATAGAGACGGCTGATGGGAGAAAGCAACAGATCACTGGGGTTTGTCACAAGGCAGCCATAGAGGTCCAAGCGGTATGAGTGACCCTGCCTGTCTTTGCAATCAAGAACTGCAGCTCCGACCTGCTCTTGGGTCGAACGTAGCTGAGCCACGTGCATGCTGTGACGATAGAGCGACCTGATGGGAGCCAAACATTGTCCATTAAGAAGCCAGACGGGACGCGGGTAATGATTGAGACAGTGGAGCCTCGGGACCCGAGGAACAGAGCAGCTCTTGCTGTGGGTGCGAGACCAAGTGATCAGATGAAGTCGTTACCTATCTCCGGCCGCGCGGTGCGATTTCGCAAGAAGAAATATGGACCACTGCTCACAGAGGAAGAAGGTCGGATCGTGGAGGTGGAAGATGTAGGGAGTCGGCTAATAGTGCATGGCAACTCGTACCCAAAGGAAAAAGATGAGGAGTTTGGCGGTGTGGTATCCGTATCTTTTTTAAGGGCACGGCCCCCTATGGGGGGTTACCCAAGCGACACAAGCGAGTAGCTCAAAAAGTTAAGCCAGCGGCGGTGGGCCGCGAGCAATCTGCACTGGAAGGGATATCGGAAGAAGAGATCGCGAAAGAAATCAAAAAAAGAAAGAAAAAGGAGCCACAACGCCTAACGGAAGAGAGGATAGCAGGGATGGACATCGGAGATGGAAATTTGACCCCACAGGAGCGAGAACGTGTGATAAAAATTCTGAAGACATGTGATAAGGCAATAGCTTTCAGCGACGCGGAGCGCGGTAGGATTGACCCTCGATATGCTAAGCCAGCGAGGATTTACACGATTTCACATGTTCCTTGGAATGACGCTGGATGAAAATACGCCCAGAAGGAGGAGGAAGAAGTTATCGCTTTCCTCAAAGAAAAGATGGTTTCCCACGTTGCGGAGCCGTCTTATAGCGCTTATGCTAATCGATGGTTCTTCCTACGAAAGCCGAATGGCAAGATCCAATGGATCCAGGACCTTCAGAAGGTCAACGCGGTGACGATACGAGACGTGGGCTCCGCGCCACACGCCGATTTATTGGCAGAAGGCGCCGCAGGTAGGTCGATTTATTCGGTCTGTGATCTGTTCTCAGGTTATGATGAGGTACCGCTTGACCCTAGGGACAGGCACCTCACGACTATGCATACGCCATTGGGACTAATACAAATGATGGTTGTCCCTATGGGTTGGACTAATGGGGTAGCTGTTTTTCAGAGAGTCATGGTAGCCGTCCTCAAAGACTTCATCCTTGATAAGGTTGAAGTTTTTATGGATGACTTTCCTATAAAAGGGCCAGTAGACAGGGATGGGACAGAGGTTGTACCTAGAGTTAGAAGATTCGTCGAGCAGCACCTAACAGATATTTGTGCGGTACTCGAGCAGTTGGACGATGCGAATTTAACAGTCAGCGAAACAAAGAGCCGATGGGCCGTCTCGACTATTAAGATCTTGGGCTTTAACGTTGACTCGAGAGGACGCCGAGCAGATCCGGCGAAGTTAGACAAACTTCTGAACTGGCTGTCACCGTTACATAGCCCAACAGGTCCGACAGTTTCTAGGAGTGGTCGGTTACTGGCGTATATTCATACGGGGGTATGCGGAGAAGGCTGAGCCATTGAGGTTACTCCTTCGAAAGACTGAAAATTTCTACTGGGATTCTTCGCAGGAACTCGCTATGCAAGAAGTTAAAGACGAATTTAAGGAGGGAGAATGCGTGTTGGGCGTGCCATTCTTTGACGATGAGACCGAGAGACCCTTCATAGTATCCACGGATGTTGGACCATGTTCACTAGGTGGTTTGCTGTCTCAGAAGGACGCTGGAGGGAAGGAAAGACCGTTAAGATTTGAGAGTAGGACACTTAATACGGCTGAGCGTAACTACAGTCAATTCAAGAAGGAAGTGTTAGCTGTTCTTCGGTGTCTAGACACGTTCAGAGACTATATCTATGGGCGACGGTTCATCTTGAGAGTAGACCCCACCGCGATTGCCTCTGTCCTCCAGAAGGACTTTAGTCTGACGGACCCGACCATCGCCCGATGGTTAATACRGATTCGGCTATACGATTACAGGGTTGATAGGATATCTGGCACTAAAAATGCCGTGGCAGATGGACTTTCGCGCATCCCTCTTGAGGTCGAGCGCCCGATAGTAGTTGGGGCCCTGACTATGGCGGAGCCAGGACCCACCGAGCGTTTTCTGATTAACCTTTACGAGGGCAAGTACCGAATGATCGGGCTGCATTTGTCAGGAAAGAGCTAATGGCGGGTAATCGAGGCGAAATTAGGCCAATCTTCCAATGGTCATGGGTTCTCGTTCCTTTCATCGTTTTTCATCATTCTTCTCTTTCCTTAATTCTATTGTCAGAAATAGTAAATTAATTGTAAGTTTCCCAAAATTAAATTCTGAGAAAATTTAAATAAATGGCCGAATTCCTTTTGTTTTTTTTTCTCTTTTACCATTTTTATTTTTTTTCTATGTCTTTAATTTCATTGCCGGGAACATAAAATAACAAGGGTATTCCCCCTTGAATTTAATGCCGTGAAAAATAAAGAAATTAAGCATATTATATTTTTCCTTCTTCCACTTCTGGCCTTGATCCCTTTTCCCCATCTTTAATTGTGGTACTAAGGGTTGCTCGTAAAGTTCAGCGCGCCCCAAATCAGGGGTGCCCTAAGCTCCCCTAATTTTTGTTGCCTGATCAACCCGCAGCACCGTCAAAACACGGACTTGTCTTTGAGCCTAAGACCCAAAAACCCAGATTTCAGGCGGCGCACTGCTTGTGGCCGCCTGACAATGTGATGACGGAGACGGAGGCGAGGGCGGGGAAGGCGGTGGCGGAGGCGGTGGCGGTGACAAAGGGGGAGTTGGTGGCGGTGACGAGGGGGAAGATGGTGGAGGCGGTGAGGGGGGGGGTGATGGTGGACGGAGCGGGTGCCGTGGCAATAGGGTTGACGAGCGTGTGAACGGCGATTTTATGCCCCGTGGTCGCTTCGTTTTGAAACGGTTGAGACACGGGGGTAGGCGGGATGACAGTATTGCGTCTCGTGTACGCAGACGTCGTGTCCACATTGCGATCGATACGGGGCCACGTGACATGCGGCAGGACCCGGTTGCCATGTCAGAGGACGAGATGGGAGATCCTTCCAACGAGACGCAGCGCGACCCGGTTCATGCAGAGGAGCTAGCCTCGAACACTGATATGATAGTGACGGAGGAGGATACAGGGTTCAGGATCACTCATCCCCGGTCGCCAGCGCCGGTTGTTGGCACAGAGGAGGAGACGGAGTTAGGAGGACCAGGTCCACTCCGCCAGGCGCAGACTCGGTGCACTCCAGCAGGCGCCCAAGTCCACTCCACAGGAGCGGGTTTGGAGGACGGCGAGGCACAACGTGAACCGCCTCCTAACACGAGTGACGGCAGTCTAGAGGAGGGAGAGGTTGCACCCACTCCCACTTGTGGAAAGGACGGGGAGGATGAACGTCCTCCGACCGACCACCACGTCGGCCTCGACTGCCCGCCCGACAGTCTTTCGGCCACCGACGAGCTATTCACCATGGATTCCGACTTGGCATCTCTGCCCGATATATCACTACTGATATCTCCCACTTTGCCGGTTGTGGCACCACCGGAGCCTGCTAGACGAGATGACGAGCGTCGTGACAGAGGGTTCGACGAGTTCGGCGGCGACACTATACTGCATCCTCCAGAGTCCGGCACTCCTGCCATTTTTCATGTCGGTGCACCGTGGGCGGTGGAGCAGGGGTTGGCGGAGGAGGTAGCACGGAACCGTCTTGGTGGACCGCACGTCGCAACTCAACGTAGTCTGGAAGGTTCACTAGAGGCAGCGTCTGGAGATTTTTTGGCGCAGGGGGGTCATGGTTCGCAGCTGTTATCGGACGGCGTGTCATCAGTCCATCCACCAGAGGGAGGCCCACAGCAAGAGCCACATCGAGGGCCAACAGAGACTTTAGAGGCGAGGCCTCCCGGAGTTATCCGCTCGAACGGAGGCGAGGGCGTGAGCGAGGATACAGCGTAGCCAAGGAGCGCAGATGGTGGACGGTCATTCAGGGGGGGCATCGAGCGCAGAGGGTCATCGACCACACACCCCAGCATTGTCAAGCCCAGCACACGTGACATTGGAGACAGGCACACAGATGAGCCTCGACCGCATTTGACGGGGATGCGTGACATTATGTGTCCACCACCCTCACGCCTCTCTGCCGCTGATCCTGCCGCCCACGGGCAGGCCGCGCCGAGCGCATTGCCTACGAGGTCTTTCTAGGACGGTGCGGGCATGGACCGGAGGGTGGGCGATATCGGACAGACATCAGCATATGGACCGGCAGATGTGCCCGCGGGGGCGCGATCGATCAGCAACGTCGATGGCACTTGTCATGATTCCATGAGAGCTTACGAGGAGCAGCATGGGAGGCCTATACGGGCCAAGACGAGCGATGTCAACGACACCAGGACGGCAACTGTGAGGCTTTCACGGGCGAGGAAGAAGGGAACAGGTGTGTCGATTCCGTATCACCGGCGCCGCCTGCATCCTTTTTTCCGCAACAGGGACGACACCAGACAGATGCCAGCTGCCGCAGATGGACAGGGGGGGGCTGAGGGAGGTGACAGAGTGGACGAAGCACGTCCAGGTGAGAAGAGACGAGGCGGCACGATCATCCTCCACGACGACAGCTCCACAGCCGCTGAGGGCTGTGAGACCACAGACGCCGACGATCCTGATGACTCCGATTACGTCCCGAGAATCCGTACGGCGGACGGAGATGACGGCGGAGGTCGTCGCGTGAGGATGAGGACTGGACCTGGCCCGGATGGTCATTGCACCCCAGCGGCACATTTGCCGCCTATTGATCAACGAGCGCAAGCTCGTTCTCTGTTGCGCAAACTGGGGGAGCGAAGACAGGCACGAGGGACATCACTGCCACATCAGCAGCCGGGGGGGGAATCCCTGAGAGAGAGAGAGAGAGAGAGAGAGAGAGAGAGAGAGAGAGAGAGAGAGAGACAGAGAGAGAGAGAGAGACTCTGTGTGTTCAGTGTTCACTGCTTTCTATCATTCTTCGTTTGGCAAAGGACCGACCGAGATACCTGCCTGTATGGAAAATTCACGAGGTACATATCTGTAAATATAGAAATATGGGCCCAGTACCAACTTCATTTTTCCTACAGGCTACAGGCTACTGCTACCCAAACTGCGAATAGCAGACCCGGGCTACCCCTAGGACAGAGAGGCCCCACGGGCCTATGTTGATAGACGGTCCTATAACCTATAGCCGGGTAGGGTTAGACCCTAGAGGCCAAAACTGGTTAGTCAATCTGGTCTAGGTCGGTGTAGGCTATATGTACATTATAGATAGGATGTGGACACGAGAGGTCTCGGCTATCAGAGGTCTGATGCGATGGAGTACGTACTGCATTGCTGAGTCAGTGCTAACCCTCCTCAGGAGTTGGGTCCCAGGCTCCCGGACTCCCAGTGGCGATCCAGCCATAGATGCATCTTCTCAAAGATTATTATTGTCTGGAAAACATCTTCATCAGGTACTGTTGGCGGTGAGCTTCTACGTCATCATCTGAGTGGCGATCGCCGATTGGCTATGGGAACCTATTTCAGTTTCGCGCAGGCCGCTGAGTCGGATGTAAGGGGCCTAAGGGCGGCGCTGGGCCGCTGGCCCGCTGGGTGTTACCTGGGGTCGTGGGGAGGCTGGGGTTTCGTAACTTTCGTTGCTGTTTTTAGTTGTTCGGGGTGTTGGGGTTGAGGCGCTACCGCTTTCAGGGTAGCGCAACAGGGTTCTGAACTTCTGAGGTTATTTTAGTTGTACGATGCTTCGAGTTCAATAAACAGTGTTAATACTGTTATTGAGTTGTCATCTCTCCATTACTTTTTGGTTGTGAATCTTGTGAGTCATTGTTGCGACCACTCTGTTGTTATCTATGAATGATTGTTGTAGAGAGAAATCACTGAATTACGTATTCTGGCACTTCGCTTCTCTGAGTCTTCCGTTGAGTTTCTTCTTCTGGGCGGTGGGAGTCGTGGGACACTCCAGTACCTCTCCCCCTTTTTCTGTGCATGTATGGGCATGTACGGGAGTTCTGGTGAGTGAGTGTTGGCCAAAGTTCAACAGACGGTCATGTTCATAGCATGTGTGTGTGTGCGTGTGTGTGTGTGTGTCTGTGTGTGTGTGTGACGGCGTGTGTGTGTGTGTGTGTGTGGGTTTGTGCGTTTTTTTTTTTTTGTGAATTTGTGTGTGTGTGTGTGTCACTGTGCGACACTGTGTGTGTGGGCGTGTACGGGAGTTCTGGTGAGTGAGTGTTAGCCAAAGTTCAACAGACGGTCATGTTCATAGCATGTGTGTGTGTGCGTGTGTGTGTGTGTGTGTGTGTGTGTGTGTGTGTGTGTTTGTGCGTTTTTTTTTTCTTTATTTTTTCTTTTTTTTTTCTTTTTTGTGTGTGTGTGTGTGTGTGTGTGTCACTGTGCGACACTGTGTGTGTGTGTGGCATTGTGTGCCACGGCGCGGCAGTGTGTGTGTGGCTTTCCGTACCCCCCCCCGCCCCCCCCATGTGTTCACCGACCCTCGGTAGGTTCGGGCAGGGGGCCCGGCCCTGCCACCCGCAGACCCCCGTCCTCCGCAACCC